TGGTCTCGGCATACTACAGCAGTGACAACACAAGGAAGGTACGAGTAGGAGTGAGGAGTGAGGAGTGAGGAGTACAGGGAATCCATCTCTCTCTCTCGTGTCTGGTCACCTCTCAGCTGCTGCTCCGTCTGATCTATCTTTTCACGAATCACATTACCGGGATGCATGGGCACAGGCGTCCAGCACGAAACGCGACACGACTCGCCCCATGAAACCCTAAACCCTAGTAACCCTGCCTGCCTGGGACACTCCGTAGTCAGATGTCAGAAGAGGAAAGGGGTTCTACTGTAGGATCCCCCCCCCTCTTCCTACTTTCCTTTGCCTACCGGGTTCATCAGTTCAGAGATCTCGCAAACGAGCTACGCCCCTCGGATCCTTCTCAGAGCAAGGCTAATGATTTCGCCTGCTGCCGCCTAAATCCACGTGCCATGTCATACAAAATAAGTTAGGCCATGTTTATTGAAAGTTTTTTCAACCTGATAAATAGTACCACTTTCGTCTTATTTGACAAATATTGTCCAATCGTAGACCAACTAGGCTCAAAAGATTCATCTCGTGATTTCCAACTAAACTGTGTAATTAATTTTTTTTACCTACATTTAATACTCCATACAAATGGCTAAAAATTGATATGATGGAAAGAGAGTGAAAAAACTTAGAATTTTAAAGATAACTAAACAAGGCCTTACTCATATAATAGGTTGGATGCAAGACGGACTGTATTAAATCTACGAGCAATTAATGTTTTGCAGTTGCAGCCGAGTACAGCGGCAACTCCCAGTTAGGAACCAGCCGCAAGGTAGCCTTTTTTCTCGTAATCTGTGATTCAGCTGGCGAGAAGCTAAGCGCCGGCTCGGCACCTTCTCTCCTAACGTGGCATTCTTACTGACGTGGAGCTGTGTCGCCGATTCAAATACCTTATTTAGCGCGTGTTTAGTTGGATCCAAATTCTAAAAAGTTGCTACAGTACCTGTCACATCGAAGATTTGCCGTCTATGTATTGAGTATTAAATGTAGACGAAAAAAAACTAATTACATAGTTTAGTGAGAAATTACGAGACAAACGTTTTGAGCCTAATTAGTCCATATTTGGACACTAATTATCAAATAAAAAAGAATGTGCTACAGTAACCTCAAATTCCAAGTTCCTGGAACTAAACACGCGCTTATACTTGCTCTTATACCACACCAAGCGTGGGTAACTTTACCACCATGCATGTGCACGTGCACGCCGATCCAAGCAACAGACTAGCACTAACTGTATCAAAAAAAAAATGCAGCTAAGGGTTACCTGTCATCTAAAATAGTTTATGTTTGATTAAATTTCTAATAAATAATATTAACACTTATGGATCAAGTTAATTTATTATGAAAATATATTTCGTACCTAATGTAGTGGTATCTGTTTAATATCATAATCGTTAATAATTTTTTTTATCTATAATTAATCAAACTTAAACATAATACTATACTAAAATTATATTCTTTTATGGACGGAGGAGCACGTGGATGAGCAGTGAGCAGACGAAGACAAGGATGTCATTTATAACCGCTTGAGCTGGGTTGCATACTTCTGCATCAGTTGCCCGATTGGAATTCCATATGTAACCTACACCTGCTAGCCTGGCAGCACTTACTACTATATACGTACGGAGTAGTATGTACTGCTAGTATACAGCAACTGGCTGCTGAATAATCCCATTCTCATCTTCATCCCATTAGTAGTGAGAGAGAGAGAGAGGACATGCCCATGTGCACACTAGCAGCAGCTGCTGCATTGCGGACGGACGAGGCACGGCGGACCCAGCTGCATCTCCATCTCCATCTCCATCTCCATCTCCATCTCCAGACACGGCCGGCCATTGTTATCATGAGATGCAAATGCAATGCAGTAGCGACATACGTAGAGCCGGCGTACGATTCTTTATTTCATTCGCAGATTGAACGGCCAGCATCGTCCGAACCTGACAATGCGTAGCATGGACCCCAAGTGTACGGTTCTCGAGTCCGGAGCATCGTCCCAAAGAGATCAGGCAGGGTTCGGTATCCAACATGATGTAAGCAAGCAAGTTTATACAGGTTTCCAGAGAAAGAGATTCGTTTGATCGAGTTTTCAAGAGACCTTTTTCTGATTTTCAATGAGAACAGGCGATTTGCGACTTTGGTCCATGAATGAATTGTATTTAGCATGTTCGATGAGTTTGACAAATTAAAAGTCTTCAGTTCGTTACTTCGGTGCTGTCACAATCACAAACGCAGGAACCCCACACTAGTGTAGACCTTTGCAAAGGCGTGGTTTGACACAGTAAACTGCAGGGAAGCTATGGAGGTAGTGATGCAGGCCAGAGGCTTCAACGAAATATGGAGAAAGATGGATGAAGCACACCTTGCAATCTCTCGATCAGCAGTATTGGTGAATGGCTCTGCCGCCCCGGGCCATGGATCAGTTGCCGTCGTGGCCTACGGCAAGGCGACCACCCCATTTCTCCATATTTGTTCATCCTAATTGCACATGTACCCAAGTGCTCATCAGAATTAAGGGCTACAGACATCAGACATCCACTTGTGACAGGTGCTGGTCTGCTGGGGATGCCCAGTGCTGCAGTATGCAGATGGCACGCTATACTGGTAGTTGAGGGGGAGTTATCAGACATCCAGGCTCTTAGAAGGGTGCTTCACCAGTTTGCAGACGCCACTGGGGCTTCAGATCAACTACACAAAAAAGCATTGCTGTACCTATTCACTTGGCTGCAGAGGAGACTGTTATAGAATGTATTGCTGCTCTTGGATGTACAAGAGAAGGCTTCCCACAGACATACCTGGGCCTGCCACTGTCAAACAATAAACTACGCCTTCCGGCATTTGCACCGCAAATAGCCAAATGTGATAAAATATCTTGCCGGATGGCAAATAGCACTGCTGAACCAAATGGGCCGAACCACATTGGTGAATTCAGTATATGCCACGGGTGCTCTGGCAATTCCACCTGGGGCTGGGGTAATTGATCAGATTGATAAAATTAAGACGCCGTTCCTTCCTCTGACCAGGCTCTGCAGACTTTAGTGGCGCCAAGTGCTTAGTAGCCTGGGATCATGTCTGTGAACCCAAGGACAGGAGCGGCCTTCGACTGAAAGACATGTGCATACAAAACACGTGCCTCCTTCAGTCCTCCTGAAGATGATCCACAAGCTGCAACTCCAATGAAGCGTCTTCATGGGCAAGATGGGTTCCAGCAAAATGCTGGTGTTGTGCTTCATTAATTGGCAACCTGCATGGCCACCATTGGCACAATTCTGGAATGCTCTGCAGATTCCAACAAACCAAGTGGCCGGTTCAGGCGCTTAAAGAAATTCAGTCACCAGATCATATATATGCCGTGTAAGTAAGCACTTTGGCACACCTTCCTACTGTTGTGCTGCTGGCACATCTGGAAGAGGCGCAACAGCGTGGTCTTCAGCAACGAAACAACTACACTGACGGCCGCCCTAGCCGGTTGCAAATCTGAAGCATTTCTATGGGCTGCTCGGCTGCCGCGTGAAGATGCAGCTATTGGCTCCATCTGGAGCTCCGTTTGTTATGCATCCCGGATGATTTTAGACGGGGCGGTTTTATCCAACGTGATGCCACATCAACCTCAGGGTAAGTCTTGCCTTCTGGTTCGAGGTTCTTATCTTGATCGGAGCATGAGGTTAGGTTCATGTCGTCTTCAACGCCTTGCCTTCTAGATTCAAAGGTTCTCGTCCTTCGGAGTCTGCGGTTATGTTCATGGAGCAATCAACTTGCTTTTCGTATTGGCTTAATAGCATGCTGGTAAGCACTACGTAGGAACATGGGACCTTAACTTGAGGCTACAATTGACCACTCAGGCCCTGCTTAGATACTAAACCGTGATATTAAGAAACTCAAACTTTAGGATCCATAGATGTGCAAAACTATGGTTACAAAAATGTATATACTGGAGTTTTTAAAACTCCAAAAGACTACTTTTAGCAATACTGTGGTTTTCAAATGTTGTCCAAACACTTCACGGAATCATGGCACTTCAGAACCAAAGTATTTCACAAAACCATGATATTTTTATAAATTTTGAAAATACTTTGTATCGAAACGGCATACTATTCTAGTTTCCGCTAGATGCTGTCCACTTTCTGGTATATGATTGGCAGCTCTGTAATTTAGTAGCATATTTCAAGTTCTACGTTGCTAATTTGCATAGAATTAACCCCAAAAAAAACTGCAGTCGCTTCTTCACGAATATAAAGCTGCAGTTATGAATGCAAAATCTTCCCAAAAGTAGAGCATCACACGAAGCTTTAGTACCCCAGAATCACCAAAATATAAAGCTCTTGATCATCAATAACAAGCATATATAGCAGAATTCCGAGTAAACTCAACAGCTTCACAGGATAATGTATCCAGTTACGAATATAACAGGAAAAAACAACAATCTTCAAATGGCTACAGAACCAAAGACCAACTTCCAAGCATTTGCTAGTTTACATGTGTTCCCACATCTTTTTGGCACCCTTCTGCGTGGCCACGGTGAACCTCCAGTAAATTCCCGAGTTAAATAAGAATCTTGCATGCCTTGACGCCACTACAAATATTGCATATGGAAACCTACAGCTTGAAATATTTTCTTGCAATGCTGGATATTGCCTTTAAGGAACGTGCTGTACAGGCATTACAGCCACTAATCTGCCTCTAGAAAATAGCAGGGGTGCAAAACACAGCCCTGCAAAAGGAAACTATCCTCCTAGTGTATCTAGTGGTGTGATGCAACAATGCAGAGAGAACACTGTAGCCTAACAAAGGGAGTCTATGATCCAAACCTGGGAGATACATCCACTTAACACCAGCACGCCCATACTGTACCCAACTCAATTGTAGCTCATGCTCCTTAGAGGGTCACATCTCTAAGGACATCTAGTGCACTCATATTTGCTGACCACCTTAACTTGGTATTGTTTCAGATGCCATGCTTCCACCCAGCTGCCCCATCACCCGTCAGAACTATGGCCAGCGACAGGCACAGTCCGCTGGGCGAACTCAAGCAATAGTCTGCGCTGTTGCTCATCTGTGTGAGGAAGACTGGCACGCAGAAGCTCAACTGGAAGTTCCTTGCGTATCGCTGTTGCAGCAGCAGGGTGCTTGTGCATATTATGAACCATGCTGTCAAATTTACTCACGCAATACTTAGTAAGCAGCCCAAAGAAAGCATTAAACGATGCTTGCCATAGGGCTCGGTTTGGAGCGCTACAGTCTGGTGCAGCAGGCGGCTCAGTGAGAAGCTCTGTTGCTCTATCCAGGACAGACTTTATGATGACAGTGGCACCATCACCAGCAGCATATCCAAGGGGTCGAAGAGGTGGATGCTCAGACGAGCACACAATTGCTGCAAGACAAGCACTGAGCCCACTTAAGTCCATCCCACGAATGCATGCAGCTACAGCACTAGCTAGTTTAGTTACTGTCTCAGCTGAACCATCATCAGATGGCAAATTTCCAAACACAAACCTCAGATGCCGGAATACTGCCATGCAAACTATCCTTGCAAGATCGCTACCAGGTACCATGAGGTTGATATAGCGTGAAAGTAGTTTCCGGCCCTTGGGTAGAGAAACAATGCGAAGAAATACCAAATCATCATTTGCAGACAAATGTGTGTTTTTATTTGGACCTAGTGGATCAACCAACTGCAGTGATTCTGCCAGCTGACCAAGGAGAGATTGCCTTCTGTTTTTAAGTTGTAAACCACCATCTTGCTGCTGGCTAAATTGAAGCAAGCGATCAATATCATCTATATCAAGTAGTAGGTTGAGTCCATCCTCAATCGTGATCCTAGCAGCTAGCAGAGGTTCCTGATCAAGAGGCTTTGAAATAAGAGAGTTATAAATCGGTTGCAGAAGCTGGTTCAACATCAAGAAGTGGACGTGGCCTCCGGATGGAAGAAAATGGCAGTCTCCCAAGGGCATCGACCTTAAGGTATGCATGTGGCTCATCCTTGCTCCGTGCACATGATGATGGATCCCGAATCAAGGTTGGGTAGAAGCGATGCTTCGACCTTCCATCCACATATCTGCTGGCCAAACAAGCTTGATGGTAATAATCATCGATGTATGGATCATTTATGTGAGTGGCGGCATGCTGTATTCTTAAAATGTTTTCAAGTTCTTCAGTGGACATATACTTGGATCTAAACCTTGACCTTCCATTACCCATCTTCATAATACCAAACTCAGAGCCTTGGAGAGGAAAATGGTGGCTTTGCCTTCCATGGTGCATTGATGATCTTGTTCTTGGATCACTGAACTCAGGCATCCCAAAATTATCAAACCTATTCATCATTTGTGGTGGATGCTGGGGGCCAAACATGTGTGCCTGTGTTCTTGATGACTGCTGTGAAGATTGCTGAATTGGGAGCATGCCATGCTGTTGGCGTATTGTTAGCATTTGATGGGGCATGAATGTATTCGGACGTTGTAGATGGTTTGGCAGCAAATTTGGCATATCGCTGGCAGTTTCCCCATGAAACTGCCCATTATTCAGCAGATGACCTTGTTGTCCACTGCTGTTAGTTGAGAAGCCTGTTGAAATCATATGGCCCCGGTTTCCACCAAACAATGACTCTGGAGGTGTCCCTCCACGAGGAAACTGGGAGAATGGGGCATCACTTTGTGCAGACATATGCATCTGAAATTCATTGAAAGATGGCAAGTTCATCTGATGTGGTTGTCGAGGCACTGAATTGGGTGGACCACCAGGTAGATGGTTTGACATGTATGGTGCATTTGGAGCAGGAATGACTTCAGCAGGATTGTACTGAGGCTCCTTTTGCGGGTATGAGGATGTACGGTGCAAAGGAGATGGCCTTGGTCCAAGAACAGGTTCATTATGATTGTGTTGTTCCTGTTGCTGAGGGGATGAGGATGTTCTGTGCAATCTGGAATCAGCAAGGAGAGAAGAACGGTGCTGTGGAGGCCACCAGCCATTGCCATTTAGTCCTTGCTTAGCACCTTGCACGTACTGATCAGGCCAGAGTGGGGATTCAAATTCTGGAGCCCAGTCAGCAGCAGCAGAACCTACCAAAGTGGTAAAATATCACATTATATAGAAAAGAGCATATACGAATAATTTCTTCTTCTTTTCATAAAATCTCTGTACAAACAGTCAATATAGAAGGAATGGCTAATTATGTCGTCTGGCAATGGAAAAATGCATCAGGGCATCCCACAAAACAATTATCACAAATGTATTACCATGTTATGAAAATTCCTTAAGAGTTTACAAGGACATCTAGATCATAATAAACATATTCAAGAACTCTGATCTATCTAAATATTTAGTATTAGGTAGATATTCAAATATTCTTCTTGGTAAGGCAAGTTGTTCCTGTTAGAAGTATTATTGAAAGCAAGCAAAGAAACCCATAAAATTCTTAGACCAAAGAATTATACAGATTATTAACCAGAATGGCAGAACTCACTTTCTCTTGAAAAAGAAGTCCCAAGGTTATTTACCCCAATATGCTTTGGTAGGTTAACATCTCTTCTTAGCTGAAAATGAAGCGCACACAAAATTTTAAAAAGGTACGGTATAGGTATATCTCAAGAATAATCTCTTACAATGAAAAGTTTATATGAAAGGATAACATATGCAGGCAATTTAACTCTAATAATCAAGCCCAGCAGGTAAATCCAGAACACGTAGCCCATATGAGATGTATATTCTGCAGTTATTTTATGATTCTTTTGTTTCTGTCATAATTATGTACATATGTAAGAAGAACCTGAAAAAGCAAGCATACAAGTCATGCTGGTATATTGCAAAATCTACAAGAAAGGTAGAAATCCCAAGTATGAAACATTGGAAGTATTTTTCCTTTTCAGTACAATTTCTTTGGAAGGGGCAATTGTAAATCAGGTCAATCATAAAGGGGCACATTGGATGCTACATTTCAGATAACTTATAGCAAAATAATTTTCCTGTTTAAAGGCAGGTAAAGCAATATTTCACATAGTACATTTTTGCTTGAATTTGTAATGCATGCTTCAGTAATCACTAATCAGTACATAGAACACATACTATACATCAAAGTTATGATTCATTGTACTTGTACAAAGAAGAAAGATTACAAATTGACACCACAAACTTCATACCCCTCACTTTTTTAGAAAAAACCTTTGTACTCAATTTCTGGGTGCAAATAGACCATTAGGATAGCTTTAGGGTTACAGTGAGTACATGGACTCTTATTAAAAACATGTAAAGAATGTAATATGAATACAAGGATTTCCTTAAGAAAACAACAGACATAAAGAAAATAAGTTTGCGCTGAAAGTTACTGCAATGAAATTCTAGTTTTTTTGACAGAGAGAAATTCTAGTTTTAGGGGAAAGATAACCTTTGAGAATGTATTTGCAAGATCTGAGAATGAACTATCTTCAGCCTGAAAAACAAGTTAGCCTAGGTGAGATGTGAATACAAACTATACAAGCCATAGAGCTTTTTCTTAAAAGTTCAGTACAAATCCACCAGGCATCAGTCTGACTTTACAGTTTACATGGAATAATTTGAGTCTATCTGTTAGACTAAAACTAAACTTTACAAGATTCATGTTCTGAACTAACAAACTTAACAGCACAACAAAAGAAGAATGAAAAAAAGTCAATACAAGTGCATCTGCAATCTTCTGAGAATATTTGATACCCCCCCCCACACACACACACAGTACCTTCACGGTGCTATAAGAAATTATTCATTTACCATAGTTGTACAAAGATATAACAGACTAACAGTTATACTCGATACAGTACTTGTCCAGCTCCAGCTTGGAATAAATAGTTAAAGGTTGTCTTAACAACTGAGTAACTGACATTAAATTACTCTTGTCCAGCATAGCCCTACCTCTAGTGCAATCTCTTGAGAAGAAAGTGGGCGCTCTAAATCATCGAGTCCAGTGAAAGCAGCATTACTGTCGTTATCATCTTCGAATCCACCTAGTTCAATGTCCTCCAGCACATTGTTGCCAAAAAAAGCATACTGTGATGCATCAAATCTAGTGTCACCTGCATAGAAGATTTCAAAATTATGTCAACTAACATAAGGTGCTTAGGTACAAGCCTAAAAACAGCAGATAACAGAAACCAAGGTCCAAGAACAAACATGCACTATTTGGATTTTGGCACGATAGGAAGAGTGAGCAGAAGGTTCAGAATTCAGAGAAAATTAAATCAATTAAATTATCATGCTTGGTGCACATAATGACAAAAGAGAACACTAGCATATGCAAAGAAACACTAAGAATATCACATATAAAGCTCAGAAAAGAGGAGAAAAGAACCCTGTTCCTGTTTCCCGGCGTTTAGATCATTTGAGACTGTTAATCCTAGAGGGACATAACTATAACCTTAAAATTCTCGCAAGGGTTTTAACCATAGCAAGCAAACTATATGTTGTATTGCTCTGATGGTTTTAAGTGCCATCAGAAACAGAAAACTGTGGTTGATAAAATAAAATTTGAGGCTGTTATTTTTTTACTGCAAAGTATGTGTTGTCTTTGTACTTGTCAAATGAATTTGACATCTATTCTTATCAAACCGATTGCGCCTACTTATTATTCATAATATGCAGCACACAGAAACATCCCAGCTTTTGGTTCAAAGAAGCAGAACTCCAGTTGCGTTTATACACTAACACTAGCAGTAACAGTACAACATCAATTTTAGTAAATTGATATCCACACTTCCACAGCATACCATATCTACCATACCATATTCGACCAGTGTCCAAGTAATTGTCCATATTTTAGCTAAAAGAAACAGATCTCCATTTGCTATCGTCTATAAAAGCAGCTGCAGTGTTGAGTTGAAATTGAACCATGGCAACAGAAATCGAACATGACACAATGTGGACATTTACTGCTACCTGTCAGACACAAAATCGGACTCCAAACTTGAGTCGAACTCAGGGGATTAAAATATTTGCTCGCCAATGCATCCAAGATCGGGCGATGCAACGTCACAGGAAGAGAGAGAGTTTTTACTTTATTGTTTCTGGGTACTACAAGTCGATGGCCACACTAGTGGTTGCCAACCTCTGTTTGCATTCGCTTCTCGTCAGCAGCACGGTTCGAAGCCACGCCGTGGAAGCCCTAAGCCCTAGCACTGTTCAACTACAAATAGTCATATGCCTTCAGAAATTAGGAAGAGGCAAATTTTATTTCTGGTCTCAATGCCGTGTCACAGGCAGTAAGAAAAACGAGCTTAATTCGCATTCGCTAACTAGTGTGCAAGCCCAACTACACTGTTCCATTTGGTATCGTCGACAAGCCCGTTGAGACACAATACATCTCCAGGAATGAGCAAGAGTCAGCGTGAAACCCATTTCATTCCCCGACTTAAAAGCCGTGTCACGAGCAACAAGAAAAACGAGCTTAATCTGAGTCTCCGTCATAACACGTACCTGTATTAGAGGTGTTCGCGTTGGCAGCAGGTACCGCCGCCGGCGGAGGCTCCGGCTCCAGGAGAAAGTGGCCCTGGCGCAAGGGCACGGATCCAGAAGTAGGTTCCCCGGTTGGCAGCATCGTCGTCGTGTCCCCAGTCGCGGGCCACACCAGGCGGCAGTTCACCACCGATGGGATTCGGAGGAGGAGGGGGCCGGAGTCGCGGCGCCCTGGACCGGAGCAGGCGGGAAAACCGGGGTCACAGACAGACCCGCGGACCGCTGCGGCCTGCTGCCTTGCCCTTAGCGGACCGTGCGACGCGCGCGTGGATGCCGGGGCCGGAGCGGGCGGCAGCAGAGCGTACACGCGCGGTGGCCAGAGCGCCGAGCTGCTCGCCCGTGGATCGTGGCCACCGGCTCGAGGCTGGAGGAAGCGAGGGCGAGGCGGTGCGGCGTGGAGGGGACGGAGGAGAGGAAGACGATGACCCTAATCCCGCCGTTGGGCTGGGCTGGGCTTGGATGCTTTGGGAATTCGGCTATATTTATTGGAAAAAGGATCGGCAAAACTCTTTATTTATTTCAAAAGGCTTGTGGATCCAGTTTTCCACTGTTCCGAATTTTGACATGGCATGAGAAAACACAAAAACGAAGGGATTTTTGTGCAGTTTTATTTTCACCATGGTTACTGATTTGGACAAAATTTGGGAAAATATGAGTAGGAGTAATTCTGAGCAAGCAGGTTTGCAAGTGTAGGAGTAATAAAAGGAAAGTGCCACTTGCCGTATTGTTCTCATCTGGTCGGTTTGGCTGGGAGCTGGATGGGATCGATGTTGGCTGATCACTTTGCACCGGAGCCACTAGTTGCTGCGCCGCGATGCAGATCTACTCCACATATCAATCAAACTCATCATTGTCAGCGTCGTCAAGGCCTAGCCCTGGTTTAATTACCTAAAATCTAAACTTTGACACTATGCAAAAAAAGATTTCCCATCATATTAAACTTGCGGTATATGCATGGAGTACTAAATGTTGACGAAATCAAAAAATAATTGCACAGTTTAGTTGTATTTTGCGAGACGAATGTTTTGAGCCTAATTAGTCAACGATTGGACAATTATTACCCAATACAAACGAAATGCTACAGCGCACCGATTTCCGACAACGCCAACTTCGTGGGCAACTAAACGCGCCCCTAGTCATGTTCTCTCCTACGACTTTCTTTTTTCCGGTCACTTATGCAGGTCGGCACGCTACTATCCGATCCGGTTAGAGCTTTTACTACGAAGTACGCACTATGTACAGCTCCTGCTAAGCAGCTTGCTGAACTTATTTAAGGATCTAGTATTTGGGAGGACTCGCTCTGGCTTCGACTTTTGCACTAATCAGGAGAAACAGAGCTGAAGGAGCCACAAAGTATATAGCTTTTTATTGCCTTCCTGTCGTTTTGAGGAGCCACAGAGCATAGTTTCATTGGCTTCCTATTGTTTTTAGAAGAACTGTGGTGTGCTCTGCAGCTGCAGATTCAGATCTTGCTTTCCAGATGTATAATGAGTTGTGTAGGGTAACTACCGATGTACGCTATTTACATCGGCAATAATTTTTTTCCTTCAATACGCAAAAGATTAACATATCTTTATATTAAGATCGAGAAATAGCGAAAGTTAAAATGACTCGCCACGGATATGGCACACCAGAGGGAGATTACTGTTATACAATCTAACTTTGCCCTCCCTAGCAGAAGAGAATTTTTTATTTTTAACACTTTTTAAACTATTTTCAAATCTAACACTGTATTTTTTTTATTTTCAAATCTAACACTTTTGGCCACGCCTATTGCCACGGCGCGGCTAAACAACGCTGCTACGTCACGCATGGCGGCGCGGTAGGACCGGTGACGTGGCAACGGCCCGGGCGCGGACCGGTGACGTGGCAGGCGTTGCCGCGCCACAGATCTTGGCGCGGCGCAGCGCGTCAGGGCCCGGTACAAGCCCGCGATGCGGCTTCCTCTTTCCTCTCTCTTTCCATTCTATCGCTTTGGCCAGACGCTCGCCCACACCCGTGCCCGTGCCCGCTGCCGTCGCCCCCTCCCTTGGCTCGTCCACCGTCGGCCGCACCTCCCTATCTGCGCCCGCGCTGCCTCCCCTGGTGATAGGCTGGGGGTCAGTCCCTTGGCCGCCCGCGCGGCCGCGCCACCTCCCTTGGTGGGCGACCGTTCGGCCACTGTCGCCGCTGGCGAGGACGCCGGCGGCCCTCTCCATCGTCGGGACTGACCCCTAGGAGCTCTTCCCGTTGTTGCTAAAGTATTCCCTCCCTCCAAGACCCTCATTTTGGTGATTAAATTTTGAATCAATTGATTATTGTTAGTGATTTAGTATAGTTAAGTAGTTAAGATTTAGGGTATGGTTAGGTAGTTAGTCTTTAGGTTTTTGTTAGTTAGGATTTTGGATTTAGTCTTTAGGTTTTTGTTAGTAATTTAGGGTTTAGGTTTTTGTCAGTTAGAATTAGTGGTTTAGGGTATAGGCTATTGTTAGTTAGGACTTTGGGTTTAAGGATTGGTTAGGTAGTTAGGGTTTAGTTAGTTTCTAGTAGTAATGGTAGTTAGTATAGATACTAGTTTTCATGTGTTTGTACTTAGTAGTGCGTGATACGATGATTTCAACGACTTGATGAAGTTTTCTCAAATGCTTTTGTAGATGGATTGTTGTGTCCGAGTTTTTTACGGAGGAAGTGTTAGGAAAGAAGATGGTATGTTTGAGGATATAGAAAAATAATTGGAATGGTTTGATGAACCTCCTAGCTTCAACGACCTTTGTATCTGTTTGAATGCAAAGTTTGGCGGTGATTTCACACTGAAGGAGACGTTTGATAGTGGAAAGACTAGGGCACACTATGTCCTGATGCTCTTGCATGACCCTTCTTACTGGTCCCGCTACAATAGGGTGCTCTAAGGTTCCAATGTGCCCATGACTGAGGTGGTGGTGGAGAATGGGTATAGGATGCAGGGTCTCCATGACGGGCCATCCAATGACGGTGTTGGAGGCAATGAACAAGAATGGGGGGTCGAAGGAGAACCAACTCAGGGTAACATGGATTTAGATGGTCAGTTGATGCAGGAGCAGTTTCATTCAACTCCAGTAGGCTGTATAAACAATGACTTCGATGTCAACGAGTTCGAATGGGAAGAAGAGGTGCAGGAGGAGGAAGACAGGATCGGTGATGTAGTTAGCGTGATTCAGACGATTCTGATGATGACCAAGGAGGTACAGATGCTATGCCAACACCGGTTCATGTCATGCTAGTACCGGTTCATGCTATGCCATTATCAGTACCAACTGAGGTACTTTATGCTATGCTGGCTCAGGGTAGACTAGTCATAGATTTACTAAAGGGTGGTACCCCCTATGATTCATGCGATAGAATTAGCGAAGCACATCAGTACGTTCCACCACCACCTTACACAGCGATAGAGCTTATGCAACTGAGGTTAATGAACGTATCTTTTAGTGGCGTTCCGAACTATAGGGATGTCAGCATGATAGATATGGCAGTTTGTGACATCAGTCTGCAGATGTGTAGGAAATCATTGTATGACTATGAGAATGAAATCCTTAGTAAGGGGATGATATTCAATATAATGTCAGAGATGAAGTTGTTCCTTCAGGACTATGCTATGTATCACCATAGGCCGTACACCGTCACTCATTCGGACCAGGAGTTGAGGTACCACGTGATATGCAAAAATGATTGTATGTGGAGGTTAAATGCACGAAAGAGACATAGTGATGACAAGTGGAGGGATGTTATCCTAGCATTTGATCAACACTTGATAGCCGATTCGTTTAGTCATCGGCTCTAATAGCCGGTACTAGAAAGGTATCGCCTCTAGTTCAAAAAATGAAAATCTTCAAGGGCATAAAAACCGATACGATACGTATCACCTCCAGAGCAAGAAATAAAAACAAAAACAGTCATACACAAGGGCATTGCACTGAGACACATTCATGAAAGAACATGAGTCTTTGTTCATCGGTTTACCCTAAGTACAAGTTAATCGAAGACCTTGTTCACCACATCTTGAGCAGATGTGATGTCCATAATGGCCTCCGTCGTGACGACAAACTCCTCAAGCAAATCCTCATGCTCCTCGGGGCCGTCACCCATTGAGAAACTAGTCTCCATGGCGTGGAGCTCGTACCCAGTCTGGACTTGCACCACGGTCAGCACCACCGCCGCACCATGACGAACATCGTGGAGGGCGATCTCCTGAACGTGGGCCGAAACATCGTTGAGGCGAGCATTGATGGGGGAGCCCCGGGCATTGACGACATCCACGGCCATGTTCGTCGCCAGTTGGAGAGACTCCAACTGCACTGTCAGGATTGACGATCACAGAAATAGGAGAGTTGTCAACATAAAAGACAATGGAAATCGGAGTAAAATGTTCCTAGAATTCGTCTTACCTACCACCATGGCATCAGACTCGTCCAGCCGCGCTCGAACGACGCTGGCCTCTTCCTAGGCCGCATGAAGAGCGGTCTGACAAACCCCAAGGCAGATCTCAAGCTGGCCATTCTCCTGAGTCGCCTCAAAATAGCGGTTCTGAGCCACTCTCCACTCTTGGATAAAACGCCAGGCATCGTCACCGTTGTATGAGTTGGAGGAGTCCGATGATGAGGCCGGCGCGGAAGATGCAGCGTCAGAGGGCTCATAGGCCCTGAGAAGAAGACAAAGGCTGTCATTCAAAACGAATCTATAGACAAATCAGAACAGTTCATCGTTGCAAGCAGAAGATGTCGATCTCACCTCATACGCCGGAGGCACTGATTTACTGGTATGTTCTCCTTCGGGACCTCCTTCGACGCACGCTTGTCGCGGTTCTCCTCGTAGGCCATGAAGTTGATCGGACCTACGGGAAGGGAGGAAGGCTGCTACAGTGTTCTGTGAGGGTGAAGAAATGCAACGGAATAGGAATGGTTGTGAGTGTGGATATGTTCGAGGCCGGAACCCTCGGCTAGTATTTGAAGACACGAAGCGAAGAGGCGGATGCCTCGGGATGCACAAAAGGCAACCACAATTAATAGAAGGCAAAGTGCCACTTCACCAACACTGAAGAGAGTACGACACTGGGTGATTAAAGATAGA